TCGTTGTAACAGGCAGTTGCAGGTTTCTCTTATTTATCCTTCTTTCTTTCTTGCTTTCTGTGTCAACAGCCTTGCTGGAAAATTCTTTCAGGGGTTAATGTGGATTCTCTTATCCAGCTTCTCTCTGGCTCACAGAAGTCACTGTAAAACCTCCACAGGACGGATGCTGCACAACCTCCCTGGACAAACTGTGACTGATCTCTCTGACAGTAAATGTGCTTTGGGAAAAAAGTTCATATGGGATTTCTTCTTCTTGCAGGTTGCAGGTTGTTCTTCTCTTGGTGTTATTTAGAGTACCCTGGCTGTGTCTTCTTTCTTCTCCCCACAAGATAATTATCCCCATTCATAAAATGGGAATAAATATAATTCATAAAATGGGGATAAATTCCCTTCTGTTCTTCATGCTGGCCCAGCTCTCTGGGACTGAGGTTTTAAACACCTTTGTGGACTGCAGCAGACTCAGTTGAGGCTGTCCATGCCTGGTTTGCTCCTCTAGGCCAGCACAGAGCACAGACCCCAGGAACATCCCAGTGGGGATGAGCAGGGGGAAGGATCCCCTCTCTCCACCTGCTGTTGGTGCCATTCACAATGTAGCCCAATGGGCTTGTAATTTACTTTGCTCTGAGGACATACTGTTGTTTCATGGTCACCTGGGACCCCTCAGAGCTTCTCTGCAAAGCTGCTTGCCAGCCCACTACACCAGTTTATTCCTCCCCAGGTGAAGTATCAGCATTTCCCTTCAGTGACCTTCATGAGAATCCTCTCTGCCCATTTTCCCACACCAGCAGGGTTCTCTGCATGGCAAAACAACCACTCCCCCTGGATTTTTATTGTCTCCAAACTTGCAGATGTCTCAGTCCTTTTTAAGACTAATAAAAATACTACACGGTATCCATCCCAAAACCAACACCTGTGGTACTGCATTCCTGACTTGCCTCGTGCCCAATTTCCTGCTGTGATCACATCCCTTTGCTCTCACTATCTCAGCCCATTTTCAGTCCACCTCACTGTATATTTATATTCCCTGTTCATATGGTCATAGTCCTTGCATCTTTGCTCCCTGGTTTGCTCCTGGATCTGATCAGCTGCCCCAAAAAGTCGCATATCATAGAATAATAGAATCATAGAATGGTTTGGATTAGAAAGGATCCTAAAACTCATCCAGTTCCAACCCTCCTGCCATGGGCAGGGACACCTTCCTTATCCCAGGTTGTTCCAGCCCCATCCAACCTGACCTTGAAGGACATGGATCCTTCCAGGGATCCAGGGGCAACCAGAGCTTCTCTGGACAACCCATGCCAGTGTGTGTAAAGAATATATGTTAAACCCAGCCTTTGCAGAGCTGAGGATGTACATGGTGAGGCAGAGGCAGGAATACCCAGGCTCCTGTTGAGCACTTCCAGTGCTGTAGTGAGCTGTGACTTGCTCTGAGTCAGTCTGCCAGTCACAGGGGTGCAGCTGATGCTCGGACTCATCCCAGTTAATTTTAGCTGCCAACAAGTTTGCTGTGTGTTCTGAGCCAGCCTTTTAGGCTGACTCTGTTGTCAACACACAGAGACAAGTAACCCCAGAGGGCAATTCATCCAACCTCTCTGCATCAGCTCCAGAGAGACATAATGAAGGGCTTGGATTAGATGTCTAATTATTGGATGGTGAAGGTTAGGGAAGATGAATCCCATCAGAAAAAAATCAAACCAAAAACCAGGTTGTAGGAAATGTTTTGCAGGCTCCCTGCCAGCTAAGGACTCCTCTCTGCAGCGACACCTGGCCCTGTTCCAACTCCTTTTCTCTTCCAAGTAATGTGCAAAAGAGAAAGCAGAAGAAGGGAACAACTTGACTTCAATATTCCTGGAGCAGTATTTTTATTCTGCCTGTCCCTGGGATGAGCTGAGAAGGAAGAACTCTTTGGAGTGGCAGGGAGGGAATAAAGTGGGGACAATGTGCCCAGGTTTGTTTGTTCTTCCCTGTGCTGCTGTTTTCTGCTGTGAGCCTGTTCTGTTTGTTTCTTGCAAGGGGACAGATTGCATTCCCCTGCTCAATACCAACAAGGCATTTGTGGTGATGAAATTGTGCAGGGAGAATATTCAGAGAGCAAAGGGAATGTGGATGCAAACAGGAACAAATGGGCTGATTTAGGGCTCCTGCTAAACAAACCCTCAACCTCCATGCTGGGTTAGCACACATCTCACCCAAGCACTGAGCCAGTGGGATTGATATCTGGGTTATGGACTATATCACAGTTATTAGCTCAGCAGATTCTTCCCTTCAGCTTTTGCTTCACTCCCCAAAATAAAGGCTTCTACTTTTCATTTCCAGATCCACAACCATTCCTTATGGTGTCCAAAGTGAACAAGGGATCCGATTTAATTTCCAGCATAGCAACTTAGCCTTGGTATGATGCGTTTATCTATTTTTTTTTGCTTCATTTTAACAATAATAATACAACGACCACCTCCTAATGCAGCTGCAATTGTGAGGCGTTGTAGGGAAATTTAGCTAGAGTATGAAAAATTGGAATAGACTGGGGAAGAAACACTTGATGTGCTAATCATGCCCTGAAGATATGTCAGATATGTCACTAGATGTCAATCAATCCTGTGTTGTGTTGCCCACAGTAGGACTAGCCTTCACAAATACAGGAAAAAAGGAAACAAAAGCATGAAAAAAAACCCCCAAACTATCAAAAAAAACCAAAACAACAACAACAACAACAAAAATCCAAACCAAACAAAACCAACCAACCAAACAAAAGAACCCAAACAGACAAAGCAAAAAACCCTGAGGTTAAGGCAAAGATGAAGCCACAAAGAAAGAGATCAAAAAAGAAATCCCTGGAGGTTCTATAAAAGGGAGATCTCCAAGATCTGGTTCTCCCTCCCTGGTGGAAGTCCCCTTGCTGGCCTCCCTGAACACACTGCAGCAAGTGGGTGACTTTTGGAGTAATTCTGGTATTTTTCTTGCTGGATGTAATGCTTTTCTTCAAACACTAGTTTGTTTGTAGGAGTCATTCCCAAATCGTGTGCAGCATTTTTCAGCCATAACTTGGGTGGTGTTTTTCAAGCCCACATCCCACAGAGCCTGAAGCCAGACTGAAAATCCTGACATAATGTTGGTTCACATTACAATCCCTCTTTAGCTGTATCACATATCAAACATTTATAAGCATGTTTACAATGCTAATTTCTTTACAAGGCAAACTTATCTTTCCCAACCATCAAAAGAGGTTTCCCCAGGGGAATTTTTGTTTAGCTGACAATGAGAAAGGCACTCTCATCGATGAGAAAAGCAAACCCACTAAGCCCTTTTCATTGGAATTATATAAACACATTCCCAAAGATGTACAAGGAGAGAGCAGTCTCTTCACTTACAGTGTGTGAACCCCTGGCTTGAAGAGCACTTAAATGGCATTGAGTTCTCTACATCTCCACACAGCTGAGAAAAATCTCACCCTGGAAATCACTGGTGATGCTGATCAGTCCTTTCCTGTGAATGAATCCACTGCAGATACCTGAGATGGAGACATCTACCTTCAGTCAGGTGAATCCCACTGTTGAGTGGCCCTATAAAGCAGTGAACAAACTGGATCTTCAGCAGTGAGCACTGGCACAGGCACCTGGAGAAGGCTTTTGGCAGACACGTGGCAGGAAGCTCATGGCTCAGAATATCAAGGATGGTGGAGATGTGAAGAGTGGATGTGTTCTCACTACCCTGAAAAATAAAATCAACCTCCTGTGGGCTCAAAAACCTGCTGAGGGTAGCTGGATCCCTAAGTTTGATGCCATACCTTGACCTGGATTTGCACATCCTTTGGGCATGGTTGCCAGCTTTAAGGGCAGGGAAGTGTTTAGTTGGATGCCAGGTGGACAATCCTTCCAGCCAGAGCCTTCATGTATTTGGAGATGTCTCAGGTTTAGCTGGGTGTGTATTCAATTACCATCTGTTAAACGTGGGGCAGTTCTCTGCTGTTCATGGGGCAGTTTTCTTTATCTCTCCCACAGCCAATCCTCCCTCCAGGAGATCTCTGCTGTCCATGGCCACTGAGTGTCCCTGCAGGGCTGATCAAATTCCAGCATCCCATGGGGAGATGCTCCGCCCAGGGCAGGAGCCAAGCATTCCTACCTGGATACAATCTGAGCCTGGAACACCCCAGCAGCCTTTGCCCCCTGCATTCCCAGAGGAGCAGCTTTCTCCTGCCCTGCATTCCCAGAGGAAGAGCAGGCCCATCTCCAGCAGCCCTGGAGCTGCAGAGGAAAACTCCCCCCTTGTGCAGGATCCCTGCTCCAGCAGAAGCACAGCTGGCACTGCAGGAGGGCTGAGCCACCCTGGGATGGGACTGTGCCACCACCCTGACCCACAGGGGCAGCTCCTGCTCTGACTCTGGCAGTGGTGTTTTGTATTACAGCATTTTTATTTTATTTTTTCCGTAATAAAGAACTGTTATTCCTACTCCCATATCTTTGCCTGAGAGCCCCTTAATTTCAAAATCCTAATAATTCAGAGGGAGGGGTTTTACATTTTCCATTTCAAGGGAGGCTCCTGCTTTGAAGACAGACACCTGGCTTTTCAAACCAAGAAAGGAGAGCATTTGCACCTCCCATTTGTGTCACAAACAAGCCTCTACTGACTGAGAAACACAGGGAGTGTGTGCCCTGCTCATTCCCCTGCCTGACTGTACAACCAGCCCACACTTGCCTGTGTTAGTACTCAACTCATCTCTCTGATGAGTACAGCTATTAATAGGAGCTCAGGAATAATATTTAAAGCAGACAAATCAGCATCTTTAGCAGCCTCATATGTTGGCACAGCAACAGGATTATGTGAAGGCTATTGATCCACAGTACCTTTAAAAATAAATACGCATTTTTCAACTGTTTTTTTAATTATTTTTACATTTTTTCATGGCTTATTTTAAAATTTTATTTAATTATTAAATTTATAAATACATTGATGTATTTTTTATTTTGCATATTGAACACATGGTCCTTGCTATGAATAAACAATGAAGAAACAAAGCACTGAGCCTCATTACAGGAAGAGAAATGTTAAGAGCATCATTAAGGCTTGTGGATCCTATTCCATCTTCATACACACAAGGAAATTGGTCAGATCCACTTCTTCCCCCACTGTGGTATTCTCAGTATAAATTGTGAGACAGAGTTGTGATCTGCAGAAGGAATAGATAAAATTATGATCAAAAGCAGATAAAATTATCATCAGTAGATTAAAATTGTGATCACCATCCCTTTTGTTGAAAAAGGGAATGAACAAAAGGCATGTATATCTCCACTGCTTAACAAGTATTTTTAAGCAAAAAAGCTGTTAAGCTGCAATTTTTCCTGAAGGATTCAGACATGACAAGCAAGAAAAAATAACAGCACAGCTGGTTTATTAGTTGATATTGAAGTTTCAATAGAGACTTCATTTATAGTCACTGGAATAATTACCACTAGAGCTGATTTGGCAGATTTCTTCAAAACCTGTTTTACAGTAAGAGAAACTGCCTCCGCCTCAAAAAAAAAAAAAAATAAAAAATCTGTCTCTAAAGTGCTAAAGTGAACTTAAAAACTGACATTTAACTTTCAAGTTCCTGAATTTGGGATAAATTGATTCCACCCTACATGTCACGCAGTCAGACACTGAGCCCAAGAGTTGTGGGAACTTTTGGACAGCTCCTAAGAGAAGGAAGAACACAGCAGGTGTGGTGACACAGCACTGAGTTCTCATTAACAAAATAATTGACTTTCTCCCCCCACAGCCAGGGAGGAGGTCATTAGTCAGTGCCTAGAAAGCCATTGATTGATTCAGCCCAACGTCCACAGGCACCTTGTAGAGGCAGAAATGAAAACAACAGCAGGGAGAAGTGCCAGGTTATAAGGCTAAGTTCAAGATTTTGGCTCACACTGGTAGATTTGGTTTGGATTTTGGATGAATTTGGTTCACCTCTCTTGTTGGTTTGACTCATCAGCCTGGTGGTAGTGTCTCGAGGTAAAAATATAAATGGTGGTGATGCCACCAGAGATCTGAAGCTGCCCACATTGAATGGGAATAAAAAAGTCCTGCCTGCTGCCATGACAAGTTCTTTGGGAGAAGCAGAGAACAGGAAAACCTTAATTCTGCTTTAAGCAAGACATCACCCCCAAAAAAACCAAAAACCAGACAAAACCAAAACAAACAAAAAAAAAAAACCCCACCAGCTGATTTCTTGCAGATATATCTCCCCTCTTGGACTGCCTCTACAAAAATTTTTCCTATTTCTCATCCCAGTCCCAGAACCAGGCTCAGTCTTATCCCTCTTATCTGGCAAACAAATACAGATTTATCTCCTAGTGCCAAACACTTGTGTCAGTAAGGGAAAGAAGTTTCTAGAAGATATTAAACCATTTTTGATCTGATCTACTGAATGCAAGTATGAGCAGATTTGGTTAAGTCTCTCTTTGTCACACAACAAAGAAAGGAATGGAAAGTCAAAGAAGGAGGAGGGGCTGAGTCTGATTCCTGTACCAATTGTTCAAGTATGAGCATAAACAAAAGGAATTATAGTGATTGTTCCTTCCAGTTGAGGAAGAAAAGGTTCAACATAACAATGTCTAGTTTTAGTGCTTAGGACGGAGCTTCTGAGGCTTGCCAAGGAATTTCTGAAGTCCTGACAGGGACAGGCAGTGCAGCACCACTGCCCTTCACAGAAAGTTAACCTTCAAAATCAGCATTCTGGATTGTCAGCTTGGTTTGTTCAGCCTGGAGAGGAAAATGCTCTGCGGGGACCTTAGAGCCCCTTCCAGGGCTTGAAGGGGCTCAAAGAGAGCTGGAGAGGGACTTGGGACAAGGGTCTGGAGTGACAGATCAAGGGGGAATGGCTTCAAACTGAAGGAGGGCAGGGTTAGATGGGTTATTTGGAATACATTCTTCCCTCTGAAGGTGCTGAGGCCCTGACACAGGTGCTCAGAGAAACTGATCCACCTCTGGATCCCTGGAGGTGTCCAGGGCCAGGCTGGATGGGGCTTGGAGAACTCAGGGACAGCAGAAGACATCCCTGTCCATGGCAGGGTTTGTAACTAGGCGACCTTTAAGGTCCCTTCCAACCCAGTCATTCTATGATTTTGGTATGCTTTGAAGAAAAAAACCCAGTAATTTTCAGACACTGGTCCTGAAAAATCATTTCCCACAACAAAAAACCCAAAAGCATTCTCTTCCAGTTTCTTTGCAAGGATGTAGCACAAAGGCATTTTGATGTAGCATTTCTGCATGAATCCCATTACCTTCCTGGCAAATACAATGTGTAGTCATAAAACATAATCAAAAAAATCATCTTTATGTTTGCATTTTCCCATCAACTGCAATGATAGAGGAAAATTCTTTAACTACTGATCCTCTGTGTGATTCTTTTCAGATCACATATTGTCCTTAAATAAGAAAGAGTAAGGAAATATATAATACTAAAGGAAGGACAACTTCAGAATTGTTTTGGAGTGGCGATTATGGTGGTGTTACCCCAAGCTCTCTTTTGGCAAGAAAACTGTGCTTCAAGAGAACAGCTACCTCTGCCTCAAGATCAGTTAAAGCATTCAGCTGCAGCCCACAGGAACTTAAGAAAAGATGTTTTTTTCTCTCCCATTCCCATCTTTGCTGGTTTTCCAGTTGGCAGCTGAGATCTATAAATAGCTGGGGAGATGATTAGTCTGGACGATGAGTCTGAAAGATTCACAAATGAAATAATTACCCCACATCTGTGCAGAGCTCTGCAATAAAACTTCTAACACCAGCACTGGGCACAGAAGGGGACATATCCAAGATAAGATCAATACTTGGTTTGTTTCTATCCTAATGAAGCTGTTCATACTGCATGGCTGCTGTTTTTAATGGTCTTATCTGTGGGAATTGGATTTGTAGAAATTTTTAAAGTTTGACAAAATGTTTGCATAGTATGTATTTGTATGTAAATTTTGAGATAAGAAATGCTGACTTAGAAATGTTATAGAATAGGAGAGACATTGTTGAGAGAAATTGAATTGGAAACAAGTTTTAGAAGATAGCTTTGTAAATAAGATTAGATATTTTCAAGAAATAGAACTAGAGAAAATAGAGAAAATGAAAAACATATTGTAGCAGGACCCACGAGGGGTAATTTTAGATGATTGGCTTTAAGGCATTTTCAGCATGGTGTGGCTAAAGCTGATAGTCAAGAAACACTTTATGATGTATTGTAATTAGGAAATAGTTGGTTTTTGATTGTGATGGTGTGAATGAGAATATCTGTGTTGTCTCACCCTTCACCTGAGACTGAAAATGGAATAAAAGTTTTTAAAACACTTCTCAGTTGCCCCAGCTCTAGGTCAGAAAAGGGAATATTCTGACAAATTTTGTAAAAAATGTTAATAAACAAAATTAGCTGTTTCCCCTGTGAGTGCAGAAGTAAAAACTGCACCTGAAAAAGTATTTACAGACACATTAATATTTTTAAATTTTCTAAAAAATGGGAATTTGGTAATATCTGCTATAGATGTATAGGGTCTCATCCAAAAAACAATGACTTCTGAAAAGCCCAGGACCTGGCTCTGCCTTCTCCTACCAGCCTGATTTTTTTTTTTTTTTCATGTGTGTTTGTAGAAATTCAGCTGCAGGCAGCAGTTTGCTTCCACAACTTGGAAAATCCCATCTCTCCATGAGCTGTTCATACACCATCCTGCCTTTCCAATAATGTTGTTGTTGGCCTTGCTTAGACAACCGAGCCAGAAAAAAAAGGAAAAACTTGCTGTTGGTTTTCACCACGCTGCCTCTCATGTATTGATTTCTCTCCTGTGGTTTGTAAGCTGTTCTCCTTTTCCCTGGTTCCCAGGATTGCCTCGCTGCAGGAAGCAAGGCTCTGTTGCAAAGGCCTCTCTGTGCTGCTGTGGAATGCCTCCACTTGGCATTGGCTTTTCAAAAGCTTTTCTCTCTGCTTTCTGAAGACCCACAACAGGTTTTAGTTTCAATTGCCCAGTCACAGAGTTTTCTTACAGAAGAAAAGAGGAAAAAAGAAAAAGGTGATTTTCCCAGCACTGAAATCACCTTGCTTGAAAAGCTGCTAAAACCCAAGTGTGCACTGCAGTGTATTTGTTGTCTCTTTTATAAATGAAGACAAAGAACTTCTGGTGTTGTGAGATGAGACAATTTTCATCAAACTCAGAATCATTCAGAATCATCTTCAGATGTTATTAAATTCCTCTATGAAGTGTTAAATTCCACCATCCCTCCATGTGGTCTTGCCTCAGTGAGATTTGAGTGGTATCTAACATCTAAATTCAAGACAAAAATCACAACTCAACCACAACAAATATCAAGCTGCAACATGTGAAAATCTGTATCACTACTCTGCTTTTCCTCTCTCATTCCTTCCACAATCAGGACTCTTTCTTTATACATTGCCTGAACCAAAATTTATGGGTCTTCCATTGCTATCATGGGTCTTTTTCTGCATCTAAAGCTGGGTTCAATCCCCATTTTTTAACCTTTTAAAAGTCTAGTTTGAGCTCATTCTCTGTATCTATTTTGTAACAAAAAACCTGTTGAGCATGTGGCAGATACTTGAACAAAATTGGGAATTACTGAATATAAAGCAAATACTTCAGCCAGAGCCAATATAATGGGACAGAAAGGGGATCACCTTTAGCAGGCAGATGGGATGTTCCTCACAAAAGAACATGCAAATACACCTGAAAAACATGATTTCTCATTCTCCCACACCAGCAAGTACAACAACCATTTTAAGACCAGCAAAGATTGTCATCAAGACATATTCTCCCTCCAGTAAAATTAGTTTCTATTTATATTTGCATTACACAGGAAGAGTTAGGACTTCCAGCAGCATGGATCATTTAGAGATCCTCAAGTCAAAGATATCATTTAAGTCTTGATTTTGAATGAAATTAATTAAAGGCAGAGGATTTTATTGTGATTTTTTTTTCCCCTAAACTTCCAGATTTGTTGTTCTGGAAGATTAGGGGAAAAAAATCACAATAAAATTGAAAAAAAAATAAGAAAGAGGATGATGATTTTTTTAAGTTCCTGAAGTCCTCTGCTTGCTGCTTGACAGTACAAGAGACAAAGGAAAGAATGAACTCTTACAACTAAATGCAGCCCCACATAGCCAAGGCAGAATTGTGGTTCTGTGAAAAATTCCCAAGTGTTCCAATGCCATTAGACATATGAATAGATTAATAGAAGCTTAGGGAAAAATGGAGTGCAATGTTGTTAATTACTCAAAGAGATACCCATCGTTATGATCTCATTTGTTCATGCTCTGAGTCACCATCAAAATCATGGTTGCTCACACAGGCAGCTTTTGGATCATCCATCACCAGTTAAACCCTAATTCACAATTTCCCCAAGAAGATGCATCCTAAGTCACTCCTGAACTCCCTCCTGACGGATTGCTGCCATACAAAACCAACACACGGCCTTAATCCTCCATTTGCTGTCTGGGAAGACAACAAATATTTACAGAAAAATCTCACATCCTGCCACGTGTGGAGGCTTCAGCAGCATCAGGCTCAGATCAAGACTCAGCAGTGACACAAAAACAGGGCCCATCCAAGCACAACGTTAGGCAGGGGGGAACAAACCTCACCAGAAACTTCTGGAGCTCTGCTGGAAGTAAACAGATGTAAATAATTCACTGTGCATTCATGAGCTGCTTTCAAGAAGTGCCTGGCAAAGGGGGAACAGACACCAGCACAATGCAGCAGCCCACATTTTACCTGATTGAAAAGAAGCACGTTCAGTACTGAGTGGCAATGTGAAGTCTTGCCTTTCACAGTGCCTGTGACAAGCTCCTGCAAACATTCAATCTAATGGTCCTTGATTAGCAAGCAAGGCTCTTAAGTCTGCCAATTCTGCAGCCTGGATTTTCAAACCAAAAAAAAGTGATTTTTTTCTGAAGCCTGAAGCATGACAGAAGGAATAGCAACCCTCAGGGACACTCCTCTGTTGAAAAATGATGTGTTATTTCAGAATCTTGAAAGCAGAACAAACAATTTCATAGAATTATGGGGTCATAGAATGGTTTGGGTTGGAAGGGACCCTAAAGATCATCCAGTTCCACTCCCCTGCCATGAGCAGGGACATCTTCCACTATCCCAGGTTGCTCCAAGCCCCATCCAGCCTGGCCTTGGACACTTCCAGGGATCCAGGGGCAGCCACAGCTTCTCTGGGCATCCTGTGCCAGGGCCTCAGCACCCTCACAGGAAAGATTTTCTTCCCAATACCGAATCTAAATCTGCTCCCTTTCAGTTTAAAGCCTGAGCATGGCCCTTCTCCATTAGAAGGAGGAGTGAAGGTATGTCCTGTGCCTGCAGGTTCCTCCTGTGGGACTTCAGATCCATTATTTATTTAAAATGAGACACACATCAAACAAAACAGACAATAAGACTCAAACAGAAAACACAGATTTTGCTCCATATTCAGAAAATATTTGAGCTTGGCAGAGTTTCCTGCTCCAACCTACTCCAACCAGTCTTCTCCAGCGGGATTAGCTACAGCAGCTGCTCCAGGACAGTGTCCAGGAAGGTTTTGAATATCTCAAAGGATAGGGACTCCAGAACCACTCTGGGAAACCTGTTACAGTCTTAGACCACCCACATAGTAGGAAGTCTTTTCTTGCATTTAAAAGCCATTTCCAGTATTTCTTTTTGTGCCTATTACCTTTTGTCCTGTCACTGAACACCACTGGGAAGAGCCTGGCTCCACTTTCTTCCTTTCCTCCCAACAGGAGAAGTAAGTACACATTCAATCTGAAAGGCAATTTCAGAACAAATATTAGAACATATTGCATCAACATTTCTACTTCAAGGGTTTGATTGAGTGCACAGGGCTGCAAACAGACACTGCCAGCATGGGAATTCAAATTCACAGAGTAATACATTAATATGATGTTTAAACATAATATTTTATTTATATCCACACAACCAACAAAAATGGTAACACAACCAATATAAATGGTAACAAGCCCTGAATTTGTTGCAAGCCCTCACTCACCACGTTGGTTGTTTTAGCTTTGGGTTTTTCACTAATAAACAGAACAAATGGCAAAGCTCACCAGAAAAACACACAGAAGCTTTAGAGCTTAATTGGCTTCTACATTTGGGTCAGCAAATGTTCCTGCTACAAAGCCAGCGAGGGATTCTTGCAACCTATTCATGTTTCTCACCAGCACAACAGCAGCTAAAAAGATAGGCAACCATGGCTACCGTCATGGGATCAGCAAACTTCTTTTCACAGCTGTAAATATTTGTAGTGGAGCCAATTAGAGGCTGTGTGGTTTTGTCAGCATTGCCTAGGAAACATCAATAGCTGCTCCAAAGAATCCCCCACCTCTCCTTATCCTGCTCGAGTTTATTGAGCAGGGCAGAGGCTGATGGTGCCTCCTCCAAACACTGAGCTAGGTCTAGGTGAGAAACCAGCTCTGGCAAGGAATAAAGCTGCTCCTGGAGGCACTGAGCTCCTCAGCTCTCTGGTGGGATGTCAGGTACCTGTTGCCAATTCCTTGACTTCTGGGTCTCAGGCTGGGCCCTCCCAGGGGGCTCCCCTGTCAGGGGAGACCCTCCTGGAATGGTCTTGAGTCAGGAAAGAGAGACACACTGGATTTTTTTTTTTTGGTCTTCAGGTTCTTGTTTATTGTTATCTTATCTAGAGTTTTGTACATTGTCTATACAAGGCTCAGCACACTGGAAAAGTACCACAAAAATGGCTAATAATCTTTCATTCCAAGGCCTTTTAAAGCTAAACTATCCAATTAAGAACTAACACCTAGATTATTCTCCCTTTTAACCCAATAACTGATCCCGAAGAGCCCCCAGTGTGGACTTTTCTGCCCAGTTACAAAATGCCACCCAAACCCATGAAGAAGAAGGAAGAAGCAGCATGAAGAAGAAACCCAGGACAGCACCCTGAGCCCTCCATCCTGCTTCCATCCACAAGGTACTAAAAATCCCAAAACCTGAATTTCCCACCCAAGTGACACTGCTCTCTATAATCTATTTCACATTTTTGTGGATTTTGGTTTATCTTCAAGTCTAGGAAACTTTCTCCATGGATGAGGGTCAGAGTCAGTGCTGCCCTGGGGGTCAGGGCACCCCAGAACAGACAGAGAAATATTCCCAGTGCCCTGGGTTTCCACAGTGGGACTACAAAAACAGCAGGGAGGCACATGGGGAAGACCCCAGGCAGTGAGATTCATTTTAAACTAAGTGGAAGATTTCAGGTTCCTTTAGTACATCTTGTTTGTGTCAAAATCCCTGTTCTGAGCAAATGCCTTTCAAAGGCATTTGGGCACTGATGCATCTGCTCTCAGGGGAATTTTACAAGGAAGAGAGCCACGTGTATAGAAGTCATGGATAAAAGTGTTTTCCTTTTCTTCTGAGTGTAAAAGCAAACGCAGCCTCATAAAACTGGGAAAATTTTAAAGAACTAGTACCTTACATCTTTCTATGAAAGGTGCCCAAAACACAAGGCACCTGCAAGCAACATCCCTCAGCTACAGAACAAAGGATTCTGTGTGTCCTGTCAGTTTTAATGCATATTTACAACATCTAAACATATTTGACTTCTACTTGTCAGGCATTCACTGATGTTCAGGACAAAATCTACTCCATGCTATGAAAAGGTGAAGGGTGTAGCACATGAAGGGGTAATCCCAAAACTGATTACAGAGTCATAGAATCCAAAAAGCCCTCCAAGATTATTGATTTTCCAGGAGTTAACCCAGTGTTGCCATGTTCACCACTGAACCCTGTCCCCAAGTGCCACATCCAAACACCTTTTGAAGTCTTCCAGGGAAGTTTTATGCCACGTGGATGAGAGGACATTAAAAAAATTTCCTGTTAGCCGCACACTAATATCTCCTCTTTGATTTTTAGCAGCTCTCCAGCTGATTCTCCAGATCCATAACAGTTTCTCCTGGCAAACCACTTTAATCTGAAGTATGGCTGCGAGCGCATTGATGATGTTGAGTGCCTCTCTTTGTGCTCCATCTCAGTTCTCAGCACTTCCTCTGAAGTGAAACCTTCCCCTGAAAGTTTTCCTGTTTAAAGAGAACATCACTCATACAAGCTGCCAGGTGACAAGAGAAACAGGACTGAGGCTCCTGTTGAATGACAACTCTGCCCTGCTACAGCAATATTTAATGCCAGGCATTTCTCCCTGCCCTGCTCTGCCCTGCAGTCAGCAATACTGCAGCTCAGCAGGTACCACAGGTATGGCATGAAATAAAGACAGCATGAAAAAATGAATTAAAACCCCCCAACTTATAAAAATGTCCCTAAAACCTTTCCTAATTTTGGCTGAAGAGGGACAAGCTGTCAAACAGATCTGTTTCTTCTGCAAGCATTTTGGAAGCTCTCTCCCTGCCTTTTTTCTCTCCTTGCCTTTTTTTCCTGATGCACTGACTGGAACTTCCCATTTTTTGCAGTGGGAAGCAGCCAGCAACCAGCAGAGCAGCAGCAGAAGTGCTGAGCTCTCAGTGTGAGAGGGTGAAGGAGCAGGAGCCACAGGCACCCTGCTGACACGTAGGAACACGTCTGCTCTTGCAGAGAAGTCGTGCAGTTGTTTACTGTCAGCTGGGATAACAGGATCATTGCTCAGGCACCCCGGGATGCAAACATCATCCACTTCCATGAACAGAAAGGTGACAGCTCACACTGTGATAACCACCCTGATACCTCATTCCTCATGCTGTTACATAAATCCTCGGGAGGATAATGGGCAATAGACTTGCTCAAAAGACTAAAAAAATTCTGGGATGTCAGTGCATCAGGATTAGGTTAACATAATTGTCTAGTCAGGCAGATTTGGAGAGAACTGAAAAAAATATACCTTCAGATTTACCAGCCTAAACAGAGGCTTGATGCCATTGGAAATCTACACATACACAATTCTGCCCTGCAATCTGGGAATTCCCATTCACTCAATTCATAATCATGGAAGACTAAATACCTTGTAACAAAATGGAACATAAGCTGCTTCATCTGCAAAGCCAGTACTGAGCAGTGCTGCCTCAAATCTTGACAAATCTGTGGTTTTTTGGATCACAAAGAGAAAATGGTCAAGAGCCCTCATGTACAGTAACTTTTTGTCCATAGCAGAATATTCAATGACATGATGGTAAAGCCATTATCACATCACAGGTGAGAGAATTGCAGGCCCATTAATTCTGCCAATAATTGAGCTCATTACAGATCATGATGCTCTGCTATCAAATGACTCAAATTTAATAACACTATAAAGAAAATGGAGACCCTGTTCCAGTAATTTCAGCCATCTGAAAAGCTTTTGCAGGGACAATTTCATACCAAAGGCAACATCCAAAACCACGAGCAAAATTTCATGCTGCCAAAGTCCTGCAGAACAAAGTGAAAGGTAGGAGAACATGACTTTTACGGTGATGATCTCACTCTGTCCAGACACCAGAACCTTAAAATCAGAAGATGGGGGAAGGAATTGCATAATTTACCATCTAATTGCAGGTTTTCACTAACTTCTAATATATTTGATAGATTTGGAGTAGGATTTTGTGTCAGAAAGATTATTTCCCAAATTTTCACTGGGATTTTCATATTCTCCATAGGTTCCTCTTGCCTTTTAATAGAAACATCCCAATTAGCAAGGGCTAATGCTCCTCCTCTAATCAAGTCATGATCTTAGCACTAACAATGCAAGGAGCTCTTGGGAAAGTGACTCATGGAATAACTTAGGTTGGAAAAGACCCTTAAGATCGAGTCCAAGATTCAACCTAACTCTGCCACATCCATGAGTGAAACAACTCCCTAAGCACCACACTTGCATGCCTTTTAAATACTCCCAGGGGTAGTGAATGGCTTTATCTGTAGGAGATGATCCACTTTGGTTCCCTCACACACACAGGATCATCAAAACTGGGAGATCAACCTCAGTATCACTACTGAGCAGTGTGTACAGGACTATTTTATTTCCTGCTTTCAAAGGCATTTATTTTTTCAATCAGGGATTCTGTAATTCCTATCATCCCATCTTCAGCAGCTCTAACTTAGAAAAAAAAAACCTATAGCAAACTTTCCCTGGAGGTTGCACTGGTGGTACTGGGGTCTCCCAGCTTCCATGTCATCCAGTTTTGTCATATTTCTGAAAAAACACCTGCCTTGCACTAACCCAGACTTGTTAGATAGGAACCACCCTCGAGTGCTGTGCCCTCAACCTGGTCATTCTGGGAATTCTGTGACTCCTGTGGATCACAGCAGGATCCAGCTGAACCTGGGAAAAAAATATTCTGGAGAATCGAAACTCAACCAAACCATGAGCAAACCACTGAGGTGCTATTGCTGCAGACCTGAAGCCACTGGGGTGTGAAGATCAGACAAGCAGTGCAAAAAGGGACAAAAGGTGAGAGCGAGTAGATAAATTAAGAGGAGCTCTAAGTTTGCATTGAATGAGGTTGAAAGCTTGCTGCCATGTGATGTTCAGAGGTGCTCCTGCTTGCACAGGGGCACAGGTCACACTGAGCCTCTGCAGAGCACCACTGTCTCATTTTCTAGGCCAGACTCTGTGCACCCAAGCTCTCCTACAGGCCCTTCAGCCAGTTTTATTTCTAATAAAATGCTTCTGAAAGGGGTTTCTTTCATATTTGAATGTTATGTTTTTGCAATTAAGCAAGATCTAACGCTTCCCATGTGCTCTGTTCTCTGTGTGCTTTACAGAGGAACAGAGCTGGAAGCAGCAAGGGAAAAGAGGGAGTGAACACAGAATGATATAATCAATTTAGGTTGGAAAAGACCTCTAAGACCATCAAGTCCAGTCATTAACCCACCACTGCCTGCACATCACATCAACAACTCCATTTCAAGAGGAGAGCCCAGGTCCTCTCAGTTAATGCCACCCATCATTCTGGATTATTTTACGTAAAATGCGCCTCTTACTTCACTCATCTCCTGCACATTAGTGAGAAGGAAAAGAAGAGAAGAGACAGGAAAGTAGGGTGCACACTGTAACAGCACTGCCATTTGCAAAAATACCTCCCACCTCTCTCTGTGACTGTCATTAGAGAGCAGTTTGTGGCATGAAAAATTCCACCCAAGTCTACTTGCCTTTCAAAGATAAGGGCTCCATTTCCAAACCTGCCGGTTCCCTCATCCTCAAGAACCTCTTTGCTATAATCAGTCTATTCTCCAGACTTGAATTTTCTTAAAGTA